TTGGCTAACAAACTATTTTGCAAAGACGGTTGTTGGTCGCTACTTATGTTTTCATGAGCCTCGTTATCCACCAGAAAACGCGTGATATTTACCATCGCCAAGTATGTCTAAATTAAGCCGCTTACATCTCTGTTTTCCGACGATCAATATCTCTATGAAATAAAATATAATGTAGCGCAATAGTTAAAGGTATCCAGAAATACACACATAGTTGATTCGATCCCGGCTCACTACTGTCAAACTAAGTTCTCCATCACTCTGATGTAGGCTTAATTACAAAAGCGCTTCGTTCTGACTACAAGTACTTAGCAATTTTTCTCACACTCCGGGCTAGGGGCTAATGGATTGACACAGAAGGCAGAACGCCGTCCCACATAAAATGAAATGTGTTCTGGATGACGTAGTAAAAGTGGATGAAGTACTTTTAGGAGCTATTTTCAGACATTTTTAGAATATAGAAGTTGGGAAAAATGCAGAAAGATCTCTGCATTTTACTATGATTGCCCGATTGCCGATCTTATTGTAATTCACGAGTATGGCTAGGAAACGACTGTAAGGAATAGAAGTGGTCCTGGAAAAGAAGACTTGCTGGAAGACGAGCGTGTTTGAGATCTTTGTAGTGTCAAGATTCGTCTTGAGTTTGCATAGTATACATTTTAAAAAAGAGTAGATGACAATGACTGCAACAAGAACGACGTCGATTTTCATTCACCCAGGAGTATTACTCTGTCAAATAATGCGAATAAAGCGAAACAAAAATACTCGATCTACGTTAGGAAATAGTATTGCCCACTGGAAGATAGTATCATTTGGGACAAAGTCACTGTTGTTGTAGATGGGCTGTTGTCTTCATGACGAGGATCAAAACGAGATAGGCGAAAAGAACTAGGATTTTTTTTTGTAAGATTTTCAGAAGGTGGAAGCCTTGTCTGCTATTATCGCCTACAAAGAAGAAACAAAGATTTTTTTTATCCAGCATCAATCAGCTGTATTCACATCTGGGAAGGATCCGTGGATTCTACGATTATGCACAAAAGGCTGTAATATTCGTAGAGACCGATTGCGGTTGGAGGAAACGAATGAAAAATATGTTACAGCACTCCTGCATGAATCACTAACACGGATTCTAAATGTGCGTCTGAGTTCAGGAAAGCAACGTAGGCAGAACAGTTAGAAATATTCATGGAAACATCTGGGTACAGTCCCACTCCGACACATTTTGCGCATTGTAGCTGTCAAGTGAAAAACAGTCGTCAGCTCTTTGAACATTAAATCAACACTTCTACATGGTTCTATGGTACTAAGACTCTTTACAAATCTACTAGGTCGATTGACTGGTGCTGTGAGAGAGAAGGTTCTGAGACTAATTTGAATATACTTCTTCAACAACAACGCTTCACAGCACGTTTCCTTCTAGTTTTCTTCAGTGGATGAAGATGCTCAACTGGAAAGCGTTTTGCAACTTGCATACAGCCTTAAACTTGCGCCGATCGATTTTTTCCATATCCGAACTCTGTAAGTTCCCTTCACGGCAAGCGCTTCATCGATTTCAACTAGCACATACTGGGAATTCAGGTAGTTCTTCGACTGGCAACAACCTCGTTTCGGGGAGAAAAGCATTCACGCTTTGTCTCAGAAATAAAAAAGGTATAGGCACCTAGTACTTCTTTCTATTGAGGAGAGGGCAACATAATAATTTAGTCTCTTCGTAAGTTCTTACCCTGTGAGAGCAATTTCTGAGAATAATGAAGAGGATTTTGATGGGATAGGAAGGGAACTTTTGACGTCTATTTGTACTCAATTAGAAAACTTTCACGCACTACGGTATCTAATTAAGATAGAGAATTAGAAAATTTCTCGGTCCATTATGTCATCAGGAATTTTCGAAAACGTCTTTCGATGAAGGTAATGCTGTCAGCAATATTTCACCAATCAGCACTAACCTCTTGTAAGAGCTGGGAGCGTAGGCTTCATGTCCGTATGGTGTGAAACGGCCACTAACCACACTGTGTGCTGGCGTGATTGGTCTCGATTCATAACTTGACATTCTGAAGTAAATACTATAAGGAACATCCAAAAAGGCCCAAAGCTGATCTCATTCTTTTATACATGAAGCGGTGCTGGAAACAGAATTATGCAAATGTTAAATAACGATGTTCGAATCAAAATTACCCAGTCTTCCAGTAAATATGCAACAAGAATATTTCTGAACTAGAAGCAGCTGATAGATACATGGTAATCTTCCACTGGTTTTAAAGTTCTTGCGCGATTTAGGAACAACCTCTCTCTTTAAGTGGCCTGTATATCTTGTCGATAGGAGTTGATCCCGTCCTCCGATTGCGCCTGCATTACTTCTAACCTCATCGATGGGTCGTCTAATTCAAGCGAACGCCAGTAAGCCTCAATTAAGCCTCATTTCGGAAGAGAGTTGCTCAATAGGTTCTGCTACTTCGAAGAGCAGAAATTGCGTCAAACTATTAACATGATGCCTTTTCGAACCAGTTTTTGGCGAGAGTGTACCTCCAGGTAGCTCACGGGAATCTACCTAGCACAGGAATGTTCCTAGCTGCGCTTTTAGTTAGGAAATGTGAAATTTTTCATCAGCCTGACAATTCGTAAACTATACCGCTAATTGCTTATTTGTTGCTGAAGAGGAAATCTCTGTAGATCCGTCAACAAGGCTGCAGCTGTTCAACCACTTCATCCCGTTCAACCATCAACCAAGTGGTTTCGTAGCTCAATAGCAAACCGATGAGCGAGCATCAGTAAGGAGGTTTGAGAAGGACAGCACTTGCAGTGCGTCTACTGTTAAGTACAACCCAATTAATCCAACTAATATTGGGTTTTAACAGCTTTCAAAAAGCAAGAGTGCTAGAGAATGGCATTTTTTAAAACTTGTTATTACTGCGATAAAATAACTTCAAACAAAAAAATGTACCACTTTAGAGCAGACTGCAACGTTTTGATGAATGATAGGTAGAATATGAATCAGATCGGCTATGCCAGGAGATACCTATTGTTAGCTTCATGGCAGAATACAGTTGGGAACAATATGAGGTTATGGATGGTTATTTATTCAGAACTTCCTTTTTCAAATGTTCAGTCGCATTTTAGTTCAATCGTTATGAGTATTAGCCAGTCATTTTTGGACTATAGACTCGTCGGAAACCTGCTACCTTTGTTTTTGTTAGATGATTATATGGTAATGAATAAATTATCTAGAGTCTAAACGAATTTTAATAAATGATAAAGGAATAAAGCGTCTGGTGCTGATCATTCCCTGAGGAGAGTGTTATTCGTTGGCTTCATTCGTAGTATCGTTGAGATGAATGGGTGCATATTTGGCTTATGAAATGATTTTTGGGAGGTTACTGATGTATTACTATGTTAGCGTTTCTATCCTCCCAGTCAAATTTGCTTCCAGTTTACCAGCTCCAGATGGATGACGTGCTTAGTTAACCCTGATTTGACCCAGCGCCGGGGAATCTGTTCTCTATAATCAAAGCCTGCATCGATTTTAATATCCCACATAAAACTCATCTGAAAGAGTGTTTCGGAGATGAATGCTACATATTTGGAAGAGTTATTAGATTCCAAGAAATAGACTGTTAAACAAAGTAATGTTGGAATGAGCGGTGAGAAAATCATCGCCTTTGGAAACTATGCAAACGGAGCAATGGCAAACGCAAGTAGGCGGTGTGGAATCTGGATGAATCCAAAAAGAATTCCAACAACTTCGGACCTGTTTATGCCGTCACGTATCTTCTCCACATCGTCTACCGAAGTGTACACTGCGTTTCCCATTGTGTACTCTGATGGCTTCATTCTGGAAATCTATATTCTCGTCATTTATACTTAAGTGATTGTGAATAATCAGCTGCTGTTAATCAAATACCACTGACTGAAATAACTTGCTCTTGGGATATTAGTGTAATCGATTCATTCGAGCGTTTTATTCTTCATATCATTGAACATTCGATTCTACCAAGTAGTTCGCATTCCTTTTCCATGGTTGTGAATCATTCATCCACACTATTGCAAGCTTAAATGCCACATATGTGGAAATGTGTCGATTCTTAACAATTCTTGAGGACCAGCTCTGTTTGAATTTCTCGTCCAGTGAATGTCACATGGAAGAAAACCACACATCTTTCCGAACTAATGGATTGAAGTGCGCCAATAAATTCAACCTCATCAGTTAGAATACATTTCCAGTGACAATACCCGGACTCTTTCTATGATCATGACACTCGCTGTAGAATTTTTGAAAACAGCAAGAAGATTTATATATCACCATTATATTGTCTAAACTATTTCGCATATTCGAGAAATGCGTGCATGTGTGGAGTAAAGTGGACGAAGTGCATTGCATCCAATGCATTTTCTTTTCAGTGATGCATTTTGACAGACAGAGCCTTTTAGCGCACCTTTTGCACTTCGTTTACTTTCCGACACAGATGCTGTGTAAGGCTTGAAAAAAAGTTTTGGAAATTTAGTAATTATCACAAAAACTTTTTTTGGGCGAGTTCATTGACGGGCTGTTGACTGTTATTTCACCTCCAATCGCTACGATGAGGCTTGATTATCATATGGAATGAACAGGTATATAAGGTATAGAAGCAAACTCAACCTAAGCTGAAAAACTGAGAAACCACCTAACCTAAGCTGCCTGGCAGCAATCTGATTGCATGATGGCCCATAGAAACATGCGCAAAGTAGTAAAATACAAATGCATGCTCCTAGAAGGATAGAACAAGGTCTCTCTTGGATAATTTTTCCATGTTATCAACGTCTCTAGTCTTCTAGTTATGGAAGGAGTATCGTCCGTTGTCGAAAAAAACATGTCCGTAAGCGACATGAAATTAGACGTCATCCCGTGCGCCATTAACGCAATTTTGAGCGTCGGGAGTTATGCGGTAATTGAATGTTCATTGATTCTTTTCACCTCATTTTTTGTTTACTTCGTTGAGTCAAAGGGACGACGAAGCTTTGTTTGCTCATCAGCATAACCTAGCTTGCCTGAACACGTATTGCGCCTCGTTGTCGCTCGTATCGTCCAGCCTGCTCACCACCTGTTCAAGACGTCGCATTGTTGGTCCTACACTACTAGCTCGAAACGGTGTTGCAGAGGCAGATCGATCATAACGGCTAAACTAAGCATTCCAACTGTGTGATATATTCTAATAGTCATAGCTAAACAACTTACTGAAAAGTGATGAAGGCATGGATTATAGTGCTTTTTTATAATATTAGTAAGAGCAACCGTTGAGGATAGTCATACAAATGATTATTCTCTAATTTAGCCTGTTATACTGTCCTCAATTGGTCATATCGCCTAGTCGCAGGAATCACTGTCGTCCTTGAAGAATCCCTTGACAGAGTAGCAATTCTCCCTACTCAGAACTACATGGGCTAATGACGCCTTTTGGTGTAGACCAACCTAGCTAAGCTATCTATGGATTCTAGTGGACCAGTGTTGGGCTGGACCGAAGCTGGACCAGTGTTGGGCATCACATTCAAGGTAAGATACTACAGATTTTTAAGCGACGACTGAACTCACGCACAAGAACGGTCGAAAAGAATAGGAAGTTCGAGGATCGATGCGGGATTCGAGGAGACAAGTTACTCAAGTATTACGTTAAATACGAAGTACAAATTAGTCTTGCTGCGTGATCGATGAGCATTTACCACAAACCTGTCATTTTCAGCTGTTTTCCACTGAGCCATGTCAGGATGACAACTCTGAGTCATTTCGCGTTGCACTGAGGCCTCCCTCTCTTGGCGCATTTTTTGTGTCCCTAAATAGGTTTCTTTTTTTAATCAAAAACATTCCTCAAAAATAATTCTCCAAATAGAAAAATTCTGCTACTGAAGTGTATCCCACGAACATGTGCACTCATCCGCTCAGCGCTACGACTTGGGCCCACGATGGCCTTTTGTTTGCTATTTATTTTCCTATATAAGTATTGTATTAAGTTTCTTAAGTTTTGGATTTTAAGTCATAATGTTTAAATATGTCAATTATTTTATGAAAAACTTTTATACATTGCCATAAGTTTACAAAGCTTTGACTACTGTACCAGTTTAAAAGGTCAAGACATTGAGCTTTTTCTAGATGATTTTTACGGTACTCATCTACTGATAGAAGCTTCTAAGGATTTTTCTTCCATTTTATCAAGTTCGACAAGTCTTATGGGCCTTCCAAATTACAGTTTCCATATGTTTTCTTAATTTTTTTTCTTGGGTTAGAACTCACTCCTTACCATCTTTTCCTTTCACGGTCGAAAACGAATATGTGTTTGTGTTTCATTTCTCACTTTGGATTTTTCAGATTCCGATAATGGGCAACGTAACTGAGTTCCGATTGTCGCACTGAATAGGATATTAATCGATTTATTAATAGGGATAGAAAACAGATGCAATCGATCGTTTTGCTTTCCCATTTGTTTTCTACAGGACCAGCAACACAATGCTTCGGTTGCAAACGAGGCAGGGTGACTCGCCTGTCCACGGCTCAACTGAATTACGTTTGTAATGACATTCTTCATAGAATCTTTACAAGCTTAGGATAATTCTTTGGAATGGGACGGTCTTCGGTTTTTCTAGACTTCTATTCATCTACTTTCTATTTGAGTAGTCTTCCTAACTCGCTCTCCTAGTAATGAACACATCTGAAGGAAGAAATTCTGGTTCCAGGAAATAGTTCACTGTTCTTGTTGACGAGCAAACGCTTGCTAATTCGCTAGAACTATTTAGTTTTTGTTTTGGGTTTCGCTGTTTACTTTTTCGTTATACGATGGTAATGAGAAGTGTGGGAATGAATGTAAGGATGTTGTAAAAATTCTCCATAACGTAAATCTAAAGCCATCAGACGGCTGTTAAGTGCAAAATGGATTGCAGCATGATGTTACAAAAGTACTCATCAATCGAGTAAGTACGGCCAATGGAACTCAGAAGGTCAAAGTCCATCCGAGTTTTGATTTTGAGGTCCGAATTTCTAACGACGAAAACATTTCGCGGAAAATGACTTGAGCTCATAAATTGAATTTGGAATGAAGTTTTCAACATTAGCCCAAATTTTGGAAATTTCTGGAAAATGTGCGGAGTGTAACATTTTTCTAGCCATCTTTCTTGGTTACTTTGGGTTTTTTTTAGTTTTGGAAGACGAAAATATTTCACTGCATTAGTAGACAAAGCACAGATCCAGAACCGAATAGGAATCTGATATTCTTCGGAGATCCTGATTACTTCTTATCCGATTACTTGTTCTTATCACCAAATATCCCTTTGTTGTCTTTCTGATGGATCACATTTACATATAGGAATCGAGAACGAAGGAATTTTCGCGAATATGAAGCTCTTCACACTCACTCAACGAATCTTTGGCTTTCGAGTAGATCATTTGAAGTTTTCGACGAAATAGATTTTCTTCCGTAAATAATTTGAGATATACTTGTTTTCCTTTCTACTCCACTATTTTCTCACCTCTTAGGTCGCTCATATTAAGAATAAGTTATCGTCAGAATCATAAAGAATCCTAGACTGCAAACAGTAGTTCACGACAAGGGCTTCAATAAAGTTTACAAAAAATGAACGGTACACAACTGCAGTGACGCTTAGTTTATGGTGTGAAACTTGAATAAATGAGAAATCTCTGCCGTAATCGCTTACCATGCAGTTCTGCCATCACGTCGGCCGGCAGTTTTCCGATTCCAGGTGGATCCTTTCGTTTTTGGTTCGTTTCGTTGTTCTGACATGTCTCACGATCGCCTTGATCAACGTCCTCCCTGCCATGTACGACGCTATCAATTCGTATCGGTTTAGTGGGTGGTGGTGGAGCCGGAGGCGTTGGTGTTGGTAAGCGGAACATTGGATTTTCTTCTATATAAGCACTGAAGTAGTACTATAAAGTAAATCTGTCTGCACTAAGTAACGACCGAACTTTGGTTTGGAAAAGAACTAGGAATAGCGGATGGTGGATAACTGATAGTGTGTGCTGTCAGCGTTGCCTGGCTTGTGTTGTATGACAGGTGGCTGTTGACTTCGCGTTCAGTACAACGAGAACTAACGCCTCCAAGCGGTCACCAAAACAAACCACTTATTTATATATATATATACACATGTCATTTTTGTTAAAGGTAGAATCTAATTGTGTTAATAATCACCATAATAGAAGGTGGAAAAGGTTGAGGCATTCAGCGTACCCCAGATGGATGGAGAGTATGGCTTGCCTGCGGCCTGAATTGAACCAAAAGCTACTTGGGTATTAATCGGCACATCTATCCATAATACTACACACACCCAAAAAATAGAGGAAAAAGACGGTCTTTGCTGATTTGTAGTGATTGGGGTTGGGTTATACTATCACAAAACTTTTTCGTGAACAGAATGTCAATTAAAATTGGAACACATGCTGGGTTACCTTGCACCACTTTGAAGCGTATCAAGACTGGTGTCAGTGAAATACTGCTTTTCCTGCTGATGCATATAGCCACTGTAGTCCTGATACAATGCTTTACTATTAGAGTTCTTTCGAGGCATTGCCTGTGGAACGGTTCTTTCCACATGGATTTCTTCTTCACGAAAATCATGTCGTTCAAATGGTATTGGGGCGAATTGCGTTGAGCAGTCCAATTCTTTTTGAGGTGCCAAATCCGTGGTATTGATTTTCTCCATCTCATAGGCAGTGCTAAGTTCGTTTGGGTTGAATTCCACTTTGCTAAATGATCCACTATCTGGTTTCTTCGCCAGGAACGGTCGTGGCGTTGAAGGCAGAGTTTTCGAAGGAACATTTGTGTAGAACAACGCTTTCAGGAATGCCCATAAGTAGAGCACCACAGTTTGCACAGCTTGCATCCCCTTATGCGCGATTTTATGGCAGAATCGACCGATTCGTCTACTGTAATCACTGGCGACAGTGGTGAAACTTTGCAATTTTTCGCCGAATCTTTGCATCATCGTCTTCCCACGATAGGCACGAGGTGGTTCGGGTCGTACGCTTTTCGATTGGTGGATCGGTTTCGTTAACGCTGATTGTGCTGATTTCGATTCCACACAGCAATTCTTCGGTGTCGCCGGCAAAGCCTCACATTTCCATTCTGGTTTTCCTCTGAAGAGAAAAAATTTGATGCCAAAATATGCTTAGAATATTTGAGAAATTGGTAAGAAGAAACGATAGAACTATGTGAAAACGAATATAGTTCTTTTTATAGCACTCTGAGAGCGCATTTTTGAGTAGCTTAGTACAGCTGTTTGTTACGAAGAACCATTAAAACTTGTATGAACCTCAATTTTTTATTTTTAAACGAGCTAATATGCTGGGCTACTTTTTCTCCTACGATTGTTATTTATTGTGTTTACCTTAATGCATTATTATGCCAAACTTTGTAATGTATAGAGAGCGTTGTTACGTCAGATTATGTAAGGAGGGTGGAATAGAGCCCGTCGTTTAACACGCCGTGCATTCGACCCCATTCGTAGCATTGTAGAGATGATTCAGTGCATATCTAGCTCATACAATTACCTGTGGTGATTTTTCGAAGTATCAAACTAGGGCGCTATCGTTACAGACAAATCTGGTTCAATATACTAAACTCGAAGAAGGGAGCATGATTTGCACAAGATGTGGTATTGAACCAAAGACCATGTATCTATTCCTGGTGATCTCTAACCGCGGTGAGCCACGCCACGCACACCCTATTTGTGTACGAAAACAGGAAAATGGCTTGGAAATAGTTGTTCCTTTATGGAGAAAACCATTAGATCGATAATCGATTCCGAATAAGGAAGTTTCAAATATAGGAAAATAATCGCCAGCAAAGTCTTTGACCATGATCCTTAAAGTAGTTCATGAGCATGTGAGCCATGTATGAACCATAAATGAGCGAAGATAATTCTTCCAAAAGTATAGATATCGCAGTTAATGGTAAATGTAATTTGATTTCCCAAGAAGAAAGGATAAGCTTTTGGGCTTCTGCAAAAGCTTTTTTTCGTCAAGAGTAGCACCTTGACCAGCTGATAGAAATTTTTGGAAACCATTTGACTGTGTAATAATCTAAAAGCTGATTGAAAATGACTAAGGAAGAACTGTTTCGTTAGAAAAGCACAAGGATTCTTTGCTCATAAGATTGTCTGACCTTCTTTTTCGAGTCTTCAAGCTCTCAACAATTCCAGTTACCAAAAACTATAGGAATAAATTTAAAAAGTCGCCTTTTACCTTCGTTATTGTATTGCTTTTGATGAAGATATAATGTAACACTCCTCCCACTAAGTAAGTATTGATTTTGTTAGTTTTTATATCACGTATTGTACATTCACCATTATATCTACTTCACTTCATAAATTTATAAAAATTACATTGTCTTAAGAGAAGTAAGCCAGTACGGACAATTTAGTTTAGGAAACTAATTTGGGACTAAAGTTAAGTCCTAATGTAAGAACGCGTGGACTGGATTGTTTAGACAATTAGATGAGCAGTCGTCAAGTGTCCTGCGAGTCACAGCACTTCTTCCATTCATTTCGTTTCCTTGCAACTGTCATTAACGAAGGTGATCGGGTTCGGGTATGGATTCGGCTGTAATTTGAGATCCCGTTATTCTCTTCCATTAACGCTTTGAATGCTGATCGAGCGTGATTTCCGTTGGAAACCCGAGATGGCTGAGTTGAGGTGTTCAGAGGTCGCCATGTAGCCATGAACACATCGCGGATCGAGAAACTTGCTGCTTTATGACTTAGGTTTTTCCAGGACTTTTGGAATAGAAATAAATACTGCGATTAGTCAACCAACCAGATGAGGACGACATAATAAGCCGTATAGGTAGCTGGTATACCTTTCGAAAACGTGAAAACGGAAAGGAAACCATCTAAGAACGACGATGTTTTTTGGCACTTCTTCAAAAATTAACGTTGAGGAGATCATTTCATAGACCCGGCCTTCACCTTCACATTTATCTTGCTTACTAACAGCTGAGGAATCTCCGTCCTACTTTGGAACATCCCGAGTTGGCCTGGAGCTTTCTGTTTGATTGCCATTATTGCCACGATTTTTGGAAACTACTTCATAGCTATAGAATGTGCTAAAGATTTATATCAAAGATAGCGCAGTAGAGTGCGACGTCAATTCCATGACCATAATCGGATTGCTCTGACCGGATAAAGGCCTAGTCCTAACTAACAACAATTGATCTTTTAATATTATTGTTTGGATCGAATGTTAGGAGAGGGATAACGATGAACCGTATTATTATTAATATTCACATCGCCAGTTTTGTGCTTTATGGGAAACCTCTGGGAGAAAAATTGATTTATGATAGTACTTTACACTTACAAACCTGATCGTGACATAGTTTTCCAAGAAAATGAAAGCTACAAATTACTTTAAAAACCTATGCGGTAAGAAGATCATGTTCCTTAAATGTATCCCACTCAAAACAACCCCTACTTGAGATCAAACACCCACTTAGAGACGTTACTTCGTTTTCTTGCTTCTCCAGACGTCGAATTCATATGATTTGAAACTGGAGTGGGCAAGGAAAATTTATCGTAGAATTCATTTATAATGCGAAAATTTCGTTAAAAGTGTTACACGAACAGACTTTTCTTGAAGAAGAGGCAAGCGAAGTTACTACAAAAACGGGTTATTTTTGCTATTTTCCTCGTACGTACGTACCGACAAGATACGGTAGCCGGCTGGCTATATAATCTAATACTGTTGAGTTATGGGTTGGTGTTGAAAGGCTGTTAATTTTCTCTACTTGTGAACCATGTAGGAGTGCCGAACGTGCAAGACATGGCATGGATTCAGATTCAAGTGAAGTCACTCATGAAAACGTAGGCACGTATGGTTAATTTTTCAAAATTTACTCCGCGCATTGGGCTCAATGCATGCTTTCGTGTGCGTGTTAAACATTCATGTAACGGCATTCATTGTTTCACTATAACCACATCTTTTACATCGCAGTTGTACGTGTCTATACTTTCGTCCTTACAATCTGATAATCGCACTAAAGCGTAGAAATAGTTGAAATTACCTGAAGGGAGTGAAGCCGCGAACTTTTCAACGCTTCCTACTTTGCCCATGCTATTGTCTTTATGTCAAAAACATATGAAACTCGGATTCACTTATCATATTCTAGGACATTCTGAGTGAATAGCGAATATTTAGGTTTAGAGAACTCAGCCCTTAAAACCTCTTGTAAGAAAATCGAACAGAATGCATACTAGTACGACTCAAAAGAAGACTCCGACCAGAACAACGTTCATCAATTTTCCTACACTTCTGATAGACTCATTTTACTTCTTGCTGCTGCACTGAAATATACACTATGCAGTGCTTTTACGTTGTAACCATTAGGGAGGCACTTTTGCTTCTTTCAGTAACAGCATTTTTGACAGCAGCATGGTCTCATCCATCAATGAACGTTTCCCAGAGGTTTTCATCAACACGCATCTTTTCCTTGACGGCTGGAATAAACCGAACAAAGTCTCACACTTTGAAGTGATTTTGGAAAGAATTCTTTTTGGTTTTGACAAAACCGAAAGCTGAAAACAGTCTCCTTACGACTCACTAGGTTTGGTTGGATTGTTTCTTTGTGTGTGTTGTGTATGTGTATGTGTATGTGTATGTGTACGTGCATGTGTGTGTGTATGTGTACGTGCATGTGTGTGTGTGTGTGCGTGTGTGTGTGTGTGTGTTTGTGTGTTGCTTGTGATTCACTGACTTGACAGCGTTTCCATCAAGTCATGGTTCGTTTCTTGCACAGCACCTGACAGCCGACAACTACACAGTTCAGATCCGCCCAATGGGAAATTTTTAGAACGTCCACTCAAACACCCACACGCTTTTTATGATGGCTGCACAAGAAAATAAAAAGCCGGATCCTTGCAGAAAACCTTCTATCTGGGAAGAAGAAGAAGCATACATACCACAGCATACCACTGCATACACCTGTGGTCCGGAGTTTTGCAAATATCTCAGCATTTCATACGAGTTATATTTCACAACATACCCTGCCATTAAGAGGAAAAAGGCAGTAAATAAAAGAGTTAAGAAGAAGAAGCTTCAAAGTTGAGGCAACCAAAAGTATTCCCAACAGTTTTCATATATGAGAATATAAGAAGAGATCTCGGACTTCATTGATAGAATACATGCGGTGACCACCCGATCTATCCATTCAGCATCTTTCATACTTCCACAGAAATATGACAGAAACTTTCAAACCAGAGAGGAATTCCGCTTGATAACCCTAGACCGCGGGATTAGACGAAAGACTATCTGTGTACCCCAAGGTGCGCTTCACTATTGCGCTACTCGCGCCCTTGTATGATAATATTGATGAAAACGATAAAAAGGAAGTAAATAAATTGTGAAGTGAGGTGCGAGAAGCTGTTTCAGGACAACAAATATAATTACTGTCTGTGAAAAAGGGATAAAAACCAGTCTAGTCGATAACAATTTTTTTCTAGCCCATGTTTTGAAATCTATATTTAATATACAAAGGAAAAAAAACTCCATAGGAAAACGGGATTTGAATTACGAAGATCAAATAATTTATAGGATGTGAAGAAAAGCCTCAAAATTTGGGATGAGCGATCGGATATTTCGAAATATTTTCATTGGAGCATTTCTTATCGACGAAGCACCTTTCCTCGTGTCCGATCACTTACTATTTTTTTCCCAAAGCTGTGAGACGAACTATAAAAAGGCAATGGTGAAAATCATTAAGGATCTCTTCCTTTCCTATGTCGCAGGTGAATATTTTGGATTGTTTCATATTAATCTTTCGTTTCAACACTCAGAGCTGAGGATGTCGTGCTGTGTTGGTTGAACTCACATTACAACCAACGATCGAACCATTGTCCTGGCTAATCTCATTAAAGAATCATTTAAAATAATCATAGAGAATTCGCTCCAAAAACAACTTTACATTAATATTTCAGAAAATGAGTGCTATTTGGAAAACCTACTTAAACAGGAAATAAAAGAAGTATAGTATGGTCCAGAAGGCCTGCTTCACGGCACAAAATAAGCCGTTTGTACTGTCGACATTGGCACTTCGACTTCGAGACAACATCACTCAACGATGACGATTTTGAAAATCGACGATGGTGATAACGATGAGGGATGTCTGGCTGCGGTGAAAGGGAGGGAGGCTGGCTCACCAGAGGCGTTAGTTCGTTACAAACGTCCGTCGACGTTGTAATGCACACAAGTAGAACTCGTCCAACATTCGACATTCGATAACGGTTTTTATGAGATCGGTTACTATTTAGCACATTAAGCTCGGCTGTAATTAAGGTGATAAGCTACCAACAATATGTTTTTATTCTTGTTTCCATTTGTTTCATTCGGTTCGTTGACTTGCGTCTATCATGCATGAAGGCCTGCATATATGCATGCGAGTTTGGCTTCCACTAGAAGACGTCTTCTTTTAGATAATAATGTTCAGTGCTGGTCTAGTTGGTTTCTAGGATTTTTCTGCTAAGTGAATCCCATGTCTTTATCACTGACAGTATCCTTTATGAACCCGCTTTTCCAGACAAGTCTCGTGCCGATCCCGCAGAGAGACTTGGTTAGTCCATCGCACCGTTGAGCCAGCGACCATGGGCGCAGTGCAACACTGCGCTTCCTGCCCCATAACTAGGAATACCTTCTAAAAATGCATGTTATTTAATTAGTTGTTGCTGTTCGCTCCACATACTTTCCACAACCCAAAGCTCTGAATGAGCTGAAAACTTTGTCAGAAAAGTTTTAAAAGACTGCAGATGGTAGAGGTACTTTCCTCATGTGTTCATTTTTTTCAACGGATCCATAGAGATTGTAGTTCAAATGGAATCCCTTATTACGATTTGACGACTTCAGTGGAGCATAACCGACTAGGAGATTCTGTAAAATATATAGATATCATGAGCATCGAAAGGTTATTCTGTGTCATCGGTGTGTAACCCATCAATAGCACAGTGCAAAATTCAAATCGTGGAGAGGTTATTAAAGGGGAAACCTTAACTGAAAAGTTATTCTGATGTTGGCTGACATGAAGTTGTTCGTACAACATGTATTTCACGACGGCCCATATTTCGGCGCATTTTGTTCACATCGGAATAGTTTTTACTTTTCTCGGCATTTTAACGCTGCTGTCTTAAAGCCGATTTCCTTCACCGAATTCATGCTTCATTATTTAAACGACGCATTAGCGGGAATGCTTCGATCAAAATTTGAAATTTATGCGATATAATGTCATTTGGACATCTAGACTTTGCCTTATTCGGCTCTATCTCTCTATCTCTCTCTTACTCACTCCCTCTCTCTCCTCTTCCGTTTTAGCAGTACTGTCCGCTCTCTATAGTTTGATATATTGCTTAAAAGATAAGGATAAGGATAAAGCTTTCGGCGTTGATCAGTCCCTAAGGGATGCGCCATGCATTGCACTTCATTAAGCATTGTTTGGAGGCGATTTAATGCATATCTGGCCTTTACAATGACTCGCGGTAGGCTACCGATGTATCGAGCCAGTGCTGCTATCCTCCCAGACAAGTCTGGTACCAATGTGCCGACTCCGGAGGGATGGAAAGCTTGGTGGGTCCATCGGCGCGGGGATCGATTCCACGTGTGTTGCAGGGCGCCTCCGACCACTGTGCCACACGCGCCCTTCTTGCTTGTTGGTCATTGTTGGAAGGACACTTTAAAAAATAGAAGAAAAATTCTCCAGTTAGCCTCGGAATTCTGTTGAGATTTTAACAAGCTTCTGTTCTTCCTCAAAAAGTGTATTAGAAATTTACAATTGACTGAAGTGGTGCTTTTCAATATTGACCTTCATTTAACTTCGGCATGGAAAATCAGTGCCACGTTGTTTGATAATGGTCGCATCGAGTCGAATCAAGTCGAGTGCAGCGGAGCACCGTAGGAATGTCATGGCGTCACCTATCGGTACCGCTGTATACGATAAGGTTGATGACGCCCATCAGTGTCTTAGTTGGTTGTCTTACGTAAGTATACGTTTTTTATGGCTCGACAATCAAATTTGGCCTTGATTAAGAATATTTGAAGATAAAGGATAGAGCTCTGGCCGGTGATCAATCCCTGAGGATGTAACACGCATTCGATTATATTCCTAGGCATCGTTGGAGGTGGTGGAATGCATATCTGGTCTATACATTGATTTGCGATGGCCTACTGATGTATAGAGTCATTGTCGCTACCTTCCCAGACAGATCTGGTACAAATTTGCAGACCCTAGAGAGATGGAAGGCTTGGTGAGTCCGCGGCGTTGGATCGATCACAGGCTCATTACAGGGCGCCTCTAAATACTGCCTTGCACGTGTCGCCTTGTAACATTATTGTGCATTTAGGACGTTGTTCTTCATTAAAATCGGCGCTGTCGTTTTGGAACACTGTCATTTGTGCACTTGTTCACGGTCAGATGAATAGATAAAAAGAAGAGGAAAAAGGGAGACAGAAAGAAAGAGGGAAATTGAAAAAAACGTGACAGGAAAGCAAAATCAATTGTTTCTCGTTCCTTTCGGTCTTTACTCTTGTATTCTTGATCGGCATGAGTTGTAACGAAAGAACCAATCCATTTTTCTGTCAGTTCATATTCAATGGTCGTCGTGTTTCGATGCGTGCGGATAACAATAAGAACAAGAATATTTCTAATTTTTAGATCGATGTTGTCTGTGATTTGAGATGTTCCGTCGTGGAAGTGCCAAATGGAAAAGCATTCAACCACTGACGGAAGTTCTTCCATCATCGTCAAGTCATTCTCGTAACAGCAAAATCTATGTGATTTACGGCAATAGCGAAGGTATTTCGCTTCCCCCTAATGGATTTTTCTTATTTAAAAAGCGAAACTATAAAAATGTACGAAAGCTAAAAAGAAAGGAGAAGAGAGCTGTAATCCATACCAAAGATCGACTCGGATCATCGGCTCTGTTAAAGACGAAGACGTCGAAATGTTAGCCGAATAAAAATTGCTTGTCAACCTCGTGTAATCTTATCAAAGAAGGAATACATATTGATTAGTAACACTGAGGTTAAAGAAAAGTCGGTTTTGAAGTATTGAAATATAAAGCCTTGCGCTGAACCACTGACATTTCAATGTTGCCAAAAATTACGACACGTTTACAAGTAGTATAACATGTTTGCTGTTACTTTAACAGCATTAAGATTTCGTTGATAGTTGCCTTCCTTTTAAAATTTGAATATTTGGCTATTCACCTATTCCAACAGAGAGCTTGGCAACAGCTCTGATTCAACGTTGTTGATGATGTCACGATTCGGCTACCTACAAAGGATTTTTAGCGAACTAATTCCGATAAGCAAATTTGAAATTCTCTCCTTTCACTTCTTTCCTTTTTTGCTTGTTTCTTTCCTTTTCCTTTTCTCTCTTCTTCACTTTATAGTGCCGACGATATCGTTTACAAACGAGGTCATGATCGACATCTTTTTCGAAGACACTACCGTGTCGGGATCGACCTCCTTGGGCACTCGTCAAATATAGAGGGAATAACTTTCTTTTCGATGATTGTTCTTCTTTTGTTTCCACCATGGATGATGACCTTTTGACTCTTAACGGCTTTCTTCGCATACTTGGTTGACCGCTTTAGGTTATGACAGGTCGAGTGTTCACTGGGTTGCCAGTGGGTTTTGTTTCAACTTCGTATCAGTTCAATCATACAGAAGTCTCTTAATTCTAGAACTATTTCATTATTGTCTCTTACTAGTTGAAAGCAACTGCAGAATTCGATTTGGAACGTCGCACGCTATGGATGGATGTATTGCCGGAGCTGCAAAGTTTTGCATTCCATTCGGCATTCGATATCGAATGGATAGATCCCCTTGCAGAAGGAGGAGAACTCACCGAGGATGTGGTCGACCGAATTCTTTGTGGGGCAAAGGATGACAACAGCTGGTTGATAGTTAGTTTATGTCTTTGTTCTAGTGATCTAGCCATAAAAACATGCAGGAAAAAAGGGATGAAATATTAAATTAGGAAAATGAAATGAGATTATCGATTACGAGGAAAAATAATGGAAAGAAAGATAGGCAGAAGTTCTTCTTAAAAAGAGGGACTGGTGTGGTTTCATGTTCAGAAACTATAGTACAGTAGACAAAATAAGTAACAAATTATTACATCATTCCCCAAATACAAGGCTTTATATACTCTGAACATTACCGTGTAACCTCTGGGTGTTTTCAGTGTTTACTTGGTGATAAATATGGCTCAGTTGGACCACCGAATCGAATCCCTACAGAGGAATTCGAGGCCATTCGGGGAGCGATATTCGAGCATGCCTCAGGTGCGCTTCAGAAGAAACTGTTTTCTTCTCTGTGTTAGCGACTATAGCAAGAATTTTTGCGAAGAAAAAGTTGTTTAGTGTTTATTGAATAACTGAAGTTTTATGCCTCCTCATCCCTGGGATTTCTTAATTTTCCACTTTTTTTTCGGACTTTTACTCCTACACTTCATCTCTTCTTTTGGTATGGTTAATATAATCGCGCGCGACTTTCAGATCTGAAGTTGTTGGACCAGCACTACGTATTGGATCGAGGCAGCTCGAAAGCCGAGTACCGTCTCAACACTCATTTTGAGGACAAAAAAATGAGAACAAACCTTGCTGAAGTTATAAGAAAAGGAGTGAAGAGCGTCTGTATATTTCAAGATTCCTGTGTTTTAATTAAAAAATATTTTTACTTGGACATTTGAATGGTCCGATATGCGCTCTTCAACACATTCCGATTCGTTTGGTTCAGTCGGTCGGTGCTCAGCTTCGAGGACGACGTCGTCTTGAAATATTATTCCTTGTGCCATTAATTAATAGTACTTACAAAAACAACTGTTAAACTTAAGTCGCAGGCATATTTCCCTACTTTGTAGTTAGTTGCGTAGAGAACTCCTGCACTATTTTGAAGTCCGCCAAGGCGTGGGACCAACTTTAACAAAACGGCGAAATTGAAGAGGGCGAAATCGTCGAAACGTCAGTCACCGTATTACGAAAACAACAACCGATACCAGCCTCGCATCAGCTCAGCAACGGCAGTTCGCAAGAATAAACAATATTTTGATTTCCACTGCAGCTTCAGCTTGGCTGGATTCAATGCCGATTTGTAACCCCCTGATCATTTCCGTTGACGGCTGATTGCTGATGTCACCATTAAGGTAAAAAAAAAGCTGGCTGAAAGAAAGGCAGAGCGAGGGCCTCAGTGGTACAGTAGGTAACATATGAGACCCCAGAAAGGATAACCGTGGCTTCGAATCTGGCCTTGGGTCCAAGTTTGGCAAATAGCTTAGCATCACTGTGGTTGTAATCCACAAAATACCCTTCCATGAAGAAATAATAGGCAGTAACAAAAGTTCTACATTATGTCTTCAACTTACGTTTTCGATTTTTTGAAAGTTCTAGCTTTAGAAGTGTAAGGTAAAGAAATGGCCGAGACCGCGATGGTGTAGTGGAAAATACGTGATCCCCAGAAAGGATAACCGCGGGTTCGGAACTTATCTGGGTTTCAGAGTTTTGTTCATATCTCAGCATCGTTGTGGTTGTATTTTACGTAGCATCCTACTGTGAAAAAGTAATAGACAGTAATAAAAATTAAACGTTCATCTCCCTTTAGTTCTTCTCCAACCACGTGACGCAGTAGACGTGGTGAAGGAGTACTGGATTTTTCGTCGTTGGGTTGAGCTGTTTGTCTGTTCTCTTCTTCTTTAAAGTGCCAAACGAGGTTGTTTCTGGGTCATCAGTACGAACAAACGCCGATTTCCGATGATTGAAGTAGAATTTTTTAGAGATTTATTTTATTTTTCGGAGACTGGAAAGTTTTGGAGACGGTTCGCTCTACATTTGCATGTAAATTCCGCACATATTCTCAGTTTACAAAATATTCTGGTTATGGTAACCACTCGTCGTCTTTCGCAGTTCGGCATTCAGAACTGTTCTCACACACGAAGCTAAAAGCCACTCGTGCACAGTCTAAATATGAGCTGTAGTTATTGGCTTAACGTGGGTGCATTAGGACAGTCTAATTCTATGAGGCTACGGATTAACTGTGAAAGATTTTTTTTTCGTATATCACAGAACCGTTGTAGGCGTACGACGACGATGCCCAGATGACTGTCGCTAGGCAAAAGAGATATTTTTGGTCTCCAGTGCATAAGGTTGCGAGCATAGCACTTGAGCAGAACTGTAGATGCACCATGGTGCTTCGAAAATTTGATGGTTTGTTTTACTTCTTTTACGCACGGATACGAATATTTCGGATACGTATTAATCCAATAAGTGCTTAAAAACGCTGCAATTTTAATTTAGTACAAATGTTTGAATTGGTAAGAGGGGTCCTGCAATACACCCATGGTAGTTGCTTCGATCACACTTCCTGGTCTAAACAAACTTCCCATTTATCTGTGGCCAGTAAATTTGTATTAGTCTTGCCTGGGCTGCCAAATACACGACTTCTTGAGTAGGCAAGTCTTAACTCATTCTATAGGTCCGATAGGGTCGATGTTTAATGAGAATGATTGCATGTCTACTTCGCGGATCCGTCAGAGGTTGATCAACGCTGAATGCCTTTACTTACGTTTTATAAACTGCTCTCTTCTTTCACTTATCTCGTGCATGTGAGCAAACTCAACCGATTAATCGCAACGATACGTAGAATCTGCTATTTGTGGGCAAGGAGCTGAAATCTGGAGAATAAGCTTCTTGAAGTATTTTCCTGTAGAGAGATAAAGTGGTGCCGTCGAGTTAGCCGAACGCCCATAATGAAATGGCTACGGTGTATGGTAGAGACGATGCAGTGACGCTGTCAAAAAGTTAGGTCTTTTGCTATAATAACTCAGCGGGCTCTCTATGAACATTGTACAAGAAATCCGATGCTCCAAGCGTTGCTTGAGAGAACAAAGTTCACTGGATATCTTTGTCAGCAAAAGTATGAAGAAACTGTTTTAATATCCGGCTATAGTCGCTCGATGGTCCTGCGAACTATACCCTATGATTTTCCTTATTAATTTATTTATATGTGCCATCTCCACATATTGCTTCTGTTGCAGCACTTTTTCCATTCATTGCATTTGAACTTTGCTGCTATTTGAAGATTTTGCCTTCTTTCCGGATATCGTTGCATACCGGTGGAGTTAATTTTCCCTGAAAATCTTGAACGACTTCGCTACAACGTTATCAGGTTTTTAGCATAGACACCGGCCACTTGTTGTAGATAGAACGGAGCTGTTCACACATGAGATAAGGATAAAGCAGACCAGCAGAGCAGGCGTTGATCAGACTTTGAGCGGTGCGCCATGCATTTGACTTAACTAGGTATCGTATATGTAACCGAGCGCATATTTGGCCTATGCAGTGACTCGCTGTGGTTGCTGCTACACTCACAAAGGGTGTGGCAGCAATTTGCCTACTCCGGAGAGAAGAGCGGCTTAGTGAGCTTGGGTTACTGGATTGATCTCATGTGTATTGCAGAGCGCCTATAACCAGTGCGCTACAGGTACTCCTGTTCGCACACACGCACTAATTTTCCAACATCGGGGGTCTCGTTGGTTTGGGGAGACGAGGGACCATGCGCGTACCGCATGGAATCTGTTGCCACTGTTTTTATCTATGACTTCATAATTAATTCTTAATAATTACAGGTTTTTTGGTGATTACTTTTATTGTTGTGCCATAGCAGTTAAATCCACAATTAACTGTTTTCTTTCGTAGGTGTTCGTCCGGATACCGGGATGAATTCGAAGTTTTGTGATAATAAGCCAGAATCAGCTGAGCGAATTGCTGCATTAAAAAACCAAATCTCCGAGAACGTCAATAATAAACTGATCTTCTCACATATATTTGTGCCCGAGAGTGGGGATATTCAAGGATTTTTCGGTTCACGAGATGCAGAAAAGTACAAGAATCTTCTTTCTCGTCAGGTGCGCTTCCAAAAAAGATACCATTCTGTATGTCGTTTTTTTCCTTATGTACTGTAAGAAATAGCCCTTGTTAAGAAGCAATTATTTTACTACTTGTAATAAAGAAAATAACGAACAAAAAGAACCGCAAAGCAAGAGCCTGGGTTGGTGTGGATAATTCGTGCTTCCTCTGAGAGGGTAATTGTGGGTTTGAACCTATGCTGAGGTTCCGAGTTGTTCTCGTCTCTCAACATTCTTCTTGTGGTTGGATTTTACATCATACCCTGTTATGAAAAATAACAGTTAGACATCGTGATTTCGACCGCGGCTTCAGCTTAATTAAGTTCTATACCGATTTGAGATTCCCAGATCATTCGCTGTAACGGGTGGTTGCCGATGTCACCGTTAGGAAGAAAAACTGGCTTGGAGAAAGGCAAATCAAGGGCCTCGGTAGAAGCAGTGGATAACACATGAGAGCACAGAAAGGGTGATCGCAGGCTCGAAACTCATCTTAGGTTCCAAATTTTGGTCGTATCTCGGCATTTCTGCAATATTTTTCTAATTCAGCAACGGCAAGCCTTATTTAAAATGAAAGCCTTCCTAGAAATGGGCAGTACTTGATACAGCTCGCTTATAGCATTCCGTATCGGGTAAGAAATGTAGTATTTAGTATTGATAGGTGGGTAAAGAAGACTTAAGACCCATCGCGGTTTTTTTTGGGAAATTATTTAATCCCCTGTACCTACTGTGTTTTTTTCGAGTTCATGGTACATTTCTATCCACTTAGGCATAATTACAATGTTAGCAGCAATGTTCGATACATACGGCTTTCATATATTGAAAAATACGCCATGAACCTAATTGTTAATCTTAATGGTCAGCGAAAATTTAGGTTTTGGAGGCAATGAAAAACCACCTACTGCTTTTACACCCGTTCGCTCCGAATAGTTTCTTGACACCAATGGACTTTGCTGCCAAAGAGAATGAATTGCATCTCTGTGAGCAGTTCACCGATTACCAAAATGTTTTACTTTTTTAAGTAAATGAAAGATTTAAGTCTCTTACAATTCTACTTGCCACCTATTAACTAGG